GTGTTACCATGTCCATGTAGCAGTGTGCATGCTCTGGTCTAATCTGATTTTAAGGTAGAATTGAGGTCATGATAGTGGTAGGGAAGGAAGCACCAAAGAACTAGAGCAAAGTTGTGTGTTTCATCGGTACTATACTGCACCCTGACTGGCTCATCTATTCCCTGTGACCCCTCTGTGAGGGGATGTCCAAGTCTATCGATGGGCATTGGGTCTCCACTCCATGCCCCCCTCCCCCAACCATTCACATTGGGTATATTTTGTTCTGGCCAACCCCTTTCTTTTGCATCGATATGATTTTTTGGGGTCTTCTGGTGCATGATACCCACTCCCATTGATACCTCATGATCACACAGGCTGGTGTGCTTCTTCCATGTGGGCTTTGTTGCTTCTGAGCTAGATGGCCGCTTGTTTACCTTAAAGTCTTTAAGACCCCAGACACTATATCTTCTAATAGCTGAGCACCATCAGGTTTTCTCACCACATTTGCTTATGCATCCATTTTTACTTCAGCGATTGTGTTGGGAAGGTAGGCATCACAGAATGTCAGATTATTAGAAGAAAGTGTTCTTAACACAGAAATATATGTACATAGACCTATGTCCCTATTGTTTTATATGTATATATATGCTGTGTTAGTCTGGGTAAAATAGAGAAACAAATTCATAGAGACTCATGTGAATGAGAGACTCAAGGAGGAAATACAGGAGTTCCCAGGATTCTCAGGAGAAGGCTATGCCCACACAGAGGCTTCATTGGCTATATCTTGATTGACAGACCAGACTCCACCCCTTCACCTGTAATCCTCTCAAATTGACACCAGATATGTAACTACTACACATGCCGATATTTATACCTCTATAAATGTCTTTTGCCTCCTAGTTCTTTCCTCTATTTCCTTTTACTTTACTCCTGCCCCACTATCATGTTTGACCTTCATTCGGCTCTCAGTAATACCGTTCAGCTACATTGTACTTGAGCAAACCCCACCAGGCATTCTACATCCTCCTTGCCACCGATTTTCGATCTCTGGTTTTTCCCTTGACCCTAGGTTTGTTGGCTCCCTACTCCCTTTCCCCTGGAACTGTTGGTCCTGTTGTTTTCTCCTCGGGATTGGTTATCTTACCTATCATAGAGATAGACATGGGAAAAAAGAAGAAGGAAAAATTGGCCTATAAATAGTTCCAGGTCTGTCTGCTGACCCTTAAATCTATGTTTTCCAATTGATTTCTGATGAGATGCCAAGCCTGCCCTTCAAGTCTGAAGTCTATTTTTGGGATTCTTCTGGGACTTCGTTGCTTTGCTCCCCTTGCTGCTTGGTTGAGTTCCCTTCGTGTTTCACCCCAGTGGCGGTGGCGGGGGGTGGTCAGACCAGGCACAATTCCCCCGCTGTGTCTCCAGTGCTGTCCCTTGCAGCACTATGGGTCAGTGAGGGGACGTCATGTCTTGTGGTGCCTTGGCTGCTCCAAGCAGGAGGGTCTTCTTCGGGGTTTGGTGGCCCAGGATGTGGTTCTCTCTGTCTGTCTGTCTGTCTCTCTCTCTTTCTCTCTTAGTTTGCTCCCATGTGATCTGGACAGACCTGCCAGTCTCCCCTGGCTGTATCTTTAGTGCTGTCCTCTAGTGCAATCTTCTGTGGTGGGGGTCCACATCACTGGGATTGGAGCCGGCCCCGCTGACCTCTCTGTTAGTTGCTGCTTTGTGCTGGTAGTTGCCCTCAAGGCTTGGTGTTCCAGGTTGAGGTCTGGTCCCTATCTTTCCTGTAGAGACATAATAAATATCCTCCCCATGGGTTCCCCACTACCCACGCCCTCTCCCCCCTCCCCTCCTTTTTAGTTGAAACTTTTAAAATATAAAGTGACTGAAAAATGACAGTAAGGGTGTAGGTTGAAATTCGGTGTTTTCTTTTTTTTAGCAGCTTTATTGAAAAAATAATTCATACATCATAAAAGT